GTGAGTGTGAGAGAGAGAGAGAGAGTGTGTGTGTTTGTGTGTGTGGGTGGGTGTGTGTGTGTGATGGATCGCCAAGCTCTGCTCGTCTGACGGTTTATTGGGTTATGTTGTGATTATCTGGCTCTTAGACATTAGTTACCCGTGACGATCCGCCTGACAGCAGCCCAGAGAGAAAATGTTTCTGCACACGGACAGAAGAAAAACTCTTTTGCTGCGTTATGATTTATTTGCGCGTGTCTGCGCTGAGAATAATTGTGCGCTTTATGTGAGCGCTTTTACATGCGTTTGTTCTTAATTCAAGCGGTTTGTCTTGTTTTAAGAACGCCGTTGAACATCGTCAGCCTCCTCTCCTTCATTTTTACCGTCTCAGTCTCTGTGTCTCTGTTTCAGTGCGCTTTCTGCCAAATAAATCAAATAAAAATATCATGAAAATAGCACAAATGGAGTAAACGTGTAGCGCTAAAGACTCCATGAAATCAGTTTGTTTTTCCTGTTTCCTGTTGAAATAGGAAGTTGTGGAAAATCTTTTACTTTCCTTTTTCCCAGAAAAGGCACACTACAAATGTTAAATGTGTTTATTTTCTAAAATATAAATTATAATGTAAAATATAAATGTATTAATATATGTATAAATCTAATATAAATTATAATATAAAATATAAATGTTTATTTTCTAAAATATATTATAATAAATAAACACACTACAAATGTTAAATGTGTTTATTTTCTAAAATATAAATTATAATGTAAAATATAAATGTATTAATATATGTATAAATCTAATATAAATTATAATATAAAATATAAATGTTTATTTTCTAAAATATATTATAATAAATAAAAATATAAATAAAATATTTATAAAAATATGAGCTCAAAGATAAAGACTTTAAATTAAATAAATAGAAGTGTAAAATTGTGGAATTTAACGATCATATATCAATGTTTGTATCATGAATTGCGCAATCAACAATCAGCAGAATTTATTTTAAATATAAATAAAATATTATATTAATTAAAAACATGAGTTACGCAATTAAATGTATTTCAGTGCACTTTTATGATTGACTGTGTAATAACTGTAGTTTTCTCAGGTGTGATGTGATTTGATGAACTTGTGAAATGTCTGAAATCAATTATTATTGTCATCTTCCACGAGTATATTTTAATATTTGAGCTCAAAAATACTCTTTTGAATTCATGAGATAAAATGACTGTTTGGCATAAAATTGGAAATTGCCAATCAGCAAAAAAAAAAATTAATTTAAATAAATTGTTATATGAATTAGTAACATGTATTATGCAAATAAATGTCTCTGAATGTAGTTTTATGGTTCACTTTGACAGGGTTTGATGAGCTTGTGAAGCGTCTGAAATCGTCTGTTGTTCAGCGTGCAGTGTGTGTGATTGAAGCAGCACTGGAGTGTTTCAGTGTTTGTGTTCGTCTGTGTTCTCAGCCCAGCAGCTTGAGTTCAGATCGTCTGTAAAGCTGATCTTGTTGAACTGTGTCTGGCAGTGCTGGTGAGCCGCGAGGACGAGTTCAACAATCGTCTCAGCAGCCGCGCTTCTTTCCGGGGCTGTTCTGCTCTGCATTACGCTGCTCTGACCGATGACCTGCGGACCGTCCGGATGCTGCTGGACGCAGGTGAGGTCACACACACACACACACACTCACGCT